CAGAAAAACTGGTTTACCGTCTACTACACGATGGTCGCAGCTTAGTGTTACGGGCATGTACGAAACAAAGTTGAATTGATCTGGACCGTTACCAGGCACAACTCTCTTTTCAGCTGTAATTTTTTAAGAGATATAACACGCATCGGTTATTGGATCTTTGGGAAGATAGAAACATAAATACTCTGTTCTGTAATGTGAGAGAGCTTACCGGTTCCAACTGCTAGAATTGCGGCTTGAGGCGGATTAACAACTGCAGAGAACTGCTTGATTCCGAAAGGTCCTCCCAAGTTAGACACCGTAAATGTTCCTCCCTCGTAATCTTCTGGCTTCAAGCTGTTCTCTTTTGCTTTTTGAGCTAATAACCGAACTTCTTCTCCAATTGTGGTCAGACCCTTCTTGTCTGCGTCCTGAAATCAAGAAATTGAAATAATTCAGTAAGCTGAAGTTTGTGCAGCAGTGAAGTGTAAAAGTAAAACAATATTATTGAGTGGCTTATATGCACACACCTTCACAACAGGAACATAGAGCCCGTTTTCTGTCTGCACTGCGACGTTGATGTTCACGTTTTTAAACCTATAGAGAAATGTTAAAAGATTTTGCTAATCCAGACGTATTTAAAAGTTTGTCGATGTACTTACTGCCGGATGTAATCATCAGTCCATGAACTATTGCACTGAGGAACTTTTCTGAGAGCTAATGCAGCAGCCTGAAACGCATGAAGATGGTAAGTTATTTCAGAACATCTGTTGGCTTGCTTGTAAGTATACACAAGTAAGATGTACCTTAACAACAAGATCATTGATAGATATCCGTTTCCCACCAGAAGCCTCTTGGAATGTATTGAGCTGACTCCTCAGACTGCATATACAAAAATCGCTTTTTCTAGCTTACCCATTCACAGAGATTAAAAAAAAATATCGGAAACTTTATACTTACCCCATAAGTTTGTCAACACGTGCATCAACGGTTAAGTAATAGTGAGGGATAGTTTGCTTTGAGAATGCCAAACGTAATGCTGTGACCTGTCAAAATTATACAGTTAAAGAGGTTTCAGAATCCTTGAACCTGCTGAAATTGGCTTAAAGAACCCTCGAGGGCTATTTAGGTTTTACCTTTCGTATCTGAGAATGAGGAATGTCAACATAGTCCAAAGCTGGAACCTTTCCATCAGTGGCCTTAGATGGCTTCGCAGTAGCTTCTTTACCACCTGAGGCTGAACCATTGGAAGGTGTATTATAAAGGTCTGAAAGAAAAAGAAAGGGAAAGAAAGAGCCAAGGAGTTAATGATACCTAAGTAATCATCGATATCTGCCTTCACTATCCGTCCATCAGGACCTGATCCTTTGATGCTTGAGAGAGGCACCTGATGTTTTTAAAACGAAAATGAGAAGATAAATTATGCATGAAGATTAAGATGAAAATATTGTTTTAGAACATTGTGAATACTAACATTATTGTCTTCAGCCAACTTTCTCGCAAGAGGACTAGCAAAAACACGATCTTCTGTGGGAGGTGCGCTAGGCTTGGATGCCTTTGGTTCAGGAGGCGATGATGGCTGTTCGACCTTCTCTTCCTTTGGTGGGGCAGGAGCTGGTTCTGCTTTAGGAGGAGTGGCATCAGCAGTAGATGACGGTGTGTAATCTTTGAACTTTCCAATGTCCTCTTCATCTTCAACTGTAATAGCGATTACCTACTTGAAGGCAAAAGATATTTGACATGATTCAAATAGTTCCACAAATGGATGTGGATCCTAAAATCAATACCCCCAATCCCAAGAGAAACCATGACAATACATAACTCAACAGTCTACAGACACCAGAATCTTTTTTCATACCTCGCCGACTTGAATTTCTTTTGTCCCCTCCGCCTTTACAATCTTGGCGAGATAGCCCTCTTCCATGCATTCCATTTCGACGGTTGCTTTGTCCTAACGAACATAACTTAGTTAGATTTAGTTTCTCAACAACTAAAAATAGAATATGAAGATCAGAACCAATTTAGGTTGGCATTACAGTTTCAACTTCACAGAGTACTTCACCAGGAGCAACTTTATCACCTTCTTTTTTCAGCCACTTGGCAATGTTACCCTGAGAAATGGAAAGATACCTTATTAGAACATAAAGATAAACAGACATAAGTTTTGACCAAGAGGAAAACAGAGGTCCATGCCTCAGTCATTGTTGGCGAGAGAGAAGGCATCCCAATCTCTTGATGAGGAGGCAGATCTGAAACACAATATTTAATCGGGGAAGATGTATGTAAGAGCAAGGTCGAAACTACAAGAGTAAAATGAACGAAAGCTCATAAAACAAAAGTAAAGCTCGGGATGAATTGCTGATTACCTGAACCCGATGAAAATCCTCTAACTGATCGCATCGAACTGGCGTGCAGAAAAAATAAACTTATCGTTAGGACCAAAAAGTATCAACACATACAGACAGATAACGCTAATGCACCTCCTCAACATAGAGTAAGAGACTGCACCATGAAAAATCTTTTCCAAGTCTTGGTGTTCCCATTGCACTGCTTAGATTTGTTCGCATAGTTGAAAAACTAATAGAAACCGGTACCTATATTAACAGAATTAACGACTTCAAGATCACACAAATCCTCTCAATGAGGAAGAAACACTGCAGAGAAAATCAAGGACTTACAGTGCTTGTGCTACATTTCGAAATCCTCTCCACTGGTGAACAACCATGACCCGCATTAAAACATTCTGAATCAACAAGCAAAGAGTCTCACAGATACTAACCATAGAACCATACAAAAGCGTTACAATTTGACAAATTTTCTACCTCAGGAAGATAACATTACCTTCTTTGCTCAGAGGAGCTCGATTAGCGTTCGAGAAATACCGGACTGTTGCAGAATGTTCACGCCGCAATAAAGTAGAAACATCCTTCAACTATCAAACACCAAAGTGGAGTTAGAGATCTCAATCATCTCCACAGAAGCAAACTGACCCATAAATCCCAAATAATCACAGGTAAGATCATAAAGCTCTCAAATTTAGCATATGATTGATGAAATTATCACATTTTCAGATAAACCCACAATTCAATTTGAATCTAGAAACACACAGAAACACAAAAAAAAACTTCAAAAACCCAATAAGATAAACCCACGATCGGCTGAAGAAACATAGAAAAGATGCAAAAAAAAGAAATCGAGAAACAGAAAAGGTTATACCTTTTTGGAATGATTGATGATGATACGTGACCCATAAGCCATTGTTGTGTAATCGGAACTGCTTTAAAGCCGATCCTATTCTCGTTTCGCACCAAAGGAAGAAGAAAAGCTTTCCTGGTTCGACGACTGTTAGGG